AGTACTTGACCCGATTGAGCATGGTCATTTTGGGTGCCTTCACCATAGCAACTTGACAGGATGATTTATAATGAGAGAAGAAATATTATATATATTATGAGAATAATATAAGGAATAATAATATTGTTATTTGATTAATATAAGTCACAAATTAATTAGGAATTAATTTGGTGACTTAAGGAGATTAATTAAATAGAAGGGCATAAACTGTCAAGTGTATGATAGTTGTACTTTGGGCTATAATCCCTTAAGGATAAAGGGGGACGGTTTTGAGGACTTTAGATAGACCTTGAAATTGTCCAAGGCTTATCATTAAGGTATCGGATTGCTTAGGGCCTAAGTTATCCAATTAGGGTTTAAGGGTGAAACCCTAGGAGACTTACAAGTATAAATAGACCCAAGGGGTTGATGAAATCGGCACTCTTGCCTTTAGAAGAACCCTGGCCGATTTCTAGATCCTTCCCCCTCTCTCTTCAATCATCCTCTTGCTAGTTGGTGTTTGTAAGCCATTAGAGGAGTGACAATTGTGACTCTAAGCTCCAAGGACAAGAAGATTCAAGCAAGCAACTTAAGGTAATCTTCTAGATCTGTGTTTTCTTATGTTATTATCTAGATCTATTGTTCAAAAGTCTTGGATTCAATGCATGTTCAATTAGAGAAACCTAGATCCAAGCATTAGGCTTTGTATGTGCACATAGGGATGTTCATATGGCTAAAACCCATCAGTGGTATTAAACCCTAGATTGGTTTCTATTGAATTGATGCATTGATTGCTTGTTTGATGCTTGAAAAATTCGAATTTTGTCATCCTGCCTGATGAACTCGGCGAGTTCCATAGTGGACTCGGCGAGTAGGCCTCAACTCGGCGAGTCCATTGTGGTACTCGGCGAGTTCGAGCGTCAGAAAGAGCTAATTTCGGGATTTCTTGTTGTTTATCCTTTGGATACTTACCTTAATCATGTTAGGTCAATATAAATCCGATTTTAAGATATATTTGAGTATATTCTTGACCTAATTGAAGAAATTTATCAATTTATTAAATATTAATTTCCTTATGTGATAATTGTTAATTATTTTAATTAAATTGGTAAATTGTTTTGCAAGAAATAATTAAATAAATCAAATATGGATAATTATGTAATTAAATGTTAATTTAGATTATTTGTTATTTGATCCCCTATGTTTTGAAAAGTTTAAAACTTGCCCTAAAGTTTTGAAATTTATGTTTTGTGATTAACAGTTTAATTTAGACAATTTAAATTTCAAACCCTAGGATTTTACAAGTTTAAAATTCAACCCTATACTAATATAATATTACAAGATTAATATATATATATATATATATATATATATATATATATATATATATATATAATTAAAATGCTAGTCTTACCGTTAGTAGGCCTCATTCACGAAGCCGATCTATAAGGTGGGTATAAGGTTGCTGCCTATAAAATGGCGCTTAATGGGTGTACACTCACACCCACCGCTTGCTTGATCGGTGGAGGGTCGTTAGCCGAATGGGTAGGATATGGCAACCTCATCTCCTCATTAAAAGTATAATATAAAATACAAAGTAACTACATGTTTTTTTTCAAAAATTCTCAATCATAGTTACTTTAGGAAAAGTGAATTGATGCAATCCCATGAAATTACACTTTGCACCCGTGCCTAGAAGTTAGTGGAGCGTGTGTGGTTTACCGGCACACTAATTGGTTCTAAGCAAAGGTAAAAAAGGGTGATTCATTGTTTATCATAGTTCGATGGAACGTGTGTGGTTTACCGGCACATCGAATAGGTGATTGTTACAATGAAGGCACCATGTGAATTTGTATGGTAATTCACACCCACTTTGTGATCCTCGGTATCCCAGTCACAAATGAGAAGGGCATATCGAGATTTAAACATGCCATTGAAAAGTTTCAATGAATCTCATCTAAACCTAGTAATTCTCAATACATTTAGACTTAAAGTTATGTTTTTATGGTGGAGAATTAGTGAGTCATCATTCACTTACCTTCAAATTGTTTGCATGTTAGATTACGGCATCCGTTTTCTAATATGTAAATATTGTTGTTGGATCCTAGCCCTAATTTTTCTTATTGGGTGATAATTAGGGATTCAAATTGTTTGCATGTTAGATTCACCTAGCTTTTGAGATTTGGCAGATTCTTGAGATCCCCTTGAACATGAAGGTTCACTTTCCATTATTTTAGCAGCTTCGTCAATTACCTTCTTCAGGTTATCTACTTTGTTGTCAACCGTTTTTGCTTCAGAGATAATAGCAGTCTCCGGTTCATCAAAGAGCTTCACATATTCTTCAAATAAGTTAGAGATGGGAACCGAGACTTGACATGTTTAAGGAAAGATTTCATCCATTGGCTCTTTGCTTGATGTGAGTTTCTTCGTGTAGTTATCATCAAACAGTACGTAATAAGTTTCTTCGATTTTCTTTGAGCATTTATTCAGAACCCTATACACTTTTGAAGTAAGCAAATACCCAAGAAAGATTCCTTTATCTGCCTTCACATCAAACTTATTTCGGTTCTCTTTAGAATGGGATATGAAACATCTTGAACCGAATACATGGAAAAACTTAACATTAGGCTTGCGGTTGTTTAGAATTTAATAAGGAGTTATTATGAAGCTCTTGTTGAGAAAAGACCGGTTCTGGGTGTAGAAAGCAACGACAATAGCATCAGCCCAGAAATATAGGGGCAACAAAGCGAAGCTGAACATGGTTCGGGTTGTTTCACACAACGAGCGGTTTCGCCTTTCAACGATCCCATTTTGTTGTGAAGTATAGGGAGAAAAGAAATTGTGAGACACTCCCTTTTCAGCAAGAAACTCTTCAAACACTTGGTTTTTGAATTCCAACCCATTGTCACTGCGAATGTTTCTAACTACCTTTCGCAGTTGAAGCTCTTCTTGCTTTATAAAGACTTTGAGCTTAAGCGTTGCTTCTGATTTTTGTTTAAGAAAGAAAACCCAGGTGAAACGAGAAAAATCATCAACTGTGACAAGAATATACTTGTTACCACCGATGCTTTCAATAGTCGAAGGTCCACACAGATCAATATGTAGTAGCTCAAGCGGTTCGATGATCTTTGTGTTAACACGAGTTGGATGACTCTTCCTGCTTTGCTTTCCCATTTCACATGTGGCACACAAATGTTCCTTGTCAAACTTGAGAAATGGAAGTCCTCGCACATGATCACCAAGAACTAACTTGTTGATGTCTTTGAAGTTGAGGTGCGAGAGCCTTCAGTGCCATATCTAACTTTCGTCGGAATGTGCTTTCGTCAGTAGGCATACAGATGGCTTCCCTCGTATTGGATTAAGGTTCAGTGGATACATTTCGCCTTTTCTTTGAGATTTTAGCAGAACATTCTTGGTCTTCTTTTTATTATTTCTGACCCTTCATCATCGAACGAAACTTTCAGTCCTGTTCCCACCACCAGTTGTGAAACACTTATGAGATTGCATTGTAAGCCTTCTACATATGCCACCTTTCTGATCAAGAAATCTCCATTTGTGATCATTCCATGGCCTTTTATTGTGCCA